CAAATCTTTTATATTAAGTAAATGTTGACGGCACAGGCCGATAACTAAACTGTAATTTTATCATTTTTTTTCACTTTTCATATGAAATGTTAAACTCCGCACTCCGTTATTATGTATACTTTAATTGTGGAAAAGGATTTTTTGATATCTATAATCAACAAAAAGATTTTGCATAATAAAGTTTTTATCGGTAAAACAGACCTTTTGAGATCCCCTTAATGTTAGTGAGAGCAGATATCTTGTCACTGGATCCGAATTCAGACTTCATACAGGTAAGAGATTGCTTTGTTGAATAAAATTAAATGTTATTATAGCTAATAGTTCATTTGAGTATATAATAATAAAATTGTAATATGATAATAAAATATATGTACTGTTTAATAATGAAATAGTAATTGTACATATTAGGGCCGATCTCACAGATTTCAATGTCCTTGATATATATTATCAAAGACAAGCCTCTAAGTAACTTTCAAAAGGTTTTAGCCGTCGCTCGTAGTTTATTAAAAAGTTATAAACAAAATAAGTTTAACGGATTGAAAGTAATTTTCTGACATTAATATTAAAAAGTACACACACACACATACAATATAAATGATATGTATGTGTATTATAAAGCAAAAACGTGGGTGGGAAAGGAGCGGAATCCCTCTTCCTGCATCCACACCACAAAAAATTCTATTTTTAGGGTGTAGGTAGGGGTGCAAGAGAAGGAACGAAGCCCCTCCCCCGCCCACGCTTTTACTTTATAAACTTTATAATAAAGTAAAACTATAAAATACTTCTTCTTTTTTAAATTTGACGCGTGGTCGGTAAAGATTTACTACGTTTTAGTACATATTCTTAGCAGATTTATTTATTCTTGAGTTATTGGGTACATATTTATCATAATAAATAAAAAATCCGTAAATTTTCTGACATATATATACATATACAACAGAACAGAGCTACTAGATATCGAAACAAAGTCGAGTATCGGTATAATGGAATTCCGAGTTGTATCAATTAACCCTAACAATAAAGCCAATAGTCACACAAATCAATAATATACGCAATAGCAAATCTTTTGCTACGCCTTTGAATTTATATATAATTTTTATTATACATATATCCATTATATAGCTATATACATATAATATTATTGAGATAATGTAGATTAATTATAACATCATGTTTTCCAGAATTTGTTTGTGTTAAAAAATGTAATAACTAACTAAAAAAAAATTTGACAGAAGTTTAAATATAAGAATTTATATAATTTCTATGACCATATATAGAAAGACAATAACATGTAACATTTATATTCTTGAAGTACAAACATTATAACAAATAAATTCTTGAAAAGAAAAAGTCGTGTTATGGTAAAGTCACTTACTTGGAGAAGTTAACTAACTTATCGTAAAAAAGCCAAATCGTTAAACAAAATTGTTTCAACAATCGAAAAGAGCTACACTTTCATGTATTATTTGTTAAGAGAAGCGATTGTGAAGTCTGATTAACCCTCATTAATTTATTCTGCGTGACTGTGGCCTATCGCATACAAATTGACATAGCTGCATATGCATAGCATAAAACCATCTGAATGAATGATTATCGAGAATTAATTCTTTCTCTTTGATATAAGAATCATGTTTGACATACAAGAAGATGTCTTGAAAAACAATAAAAACAGATTTTGTAAAAATGTAACTATACTGTATTTAACATATTATCAATTAGGAGAGGTATAAGAAAAATATCAAGCCGCTATGATTGAACAAACAAGAAATTTCATGGCAATTTTACTTATTTGTACATATATTATTTATCATTAAAAGTACCGGAAATTGCCGCGTTTGTGGTCCAGCGGTGCTTACTTAATTCTTTTCGTATGTTATACTTTATCAAGGATATTCCACTATCCGAGAACAACGATTATCACATTTTACAGAATCTTAAATCTGACCGAAGTCAACCTGATAGTGTGAATGTGGGAAACAAAATTGATGAGATTCCATTTACAAATATGTCCGTGATCCCAGAATCTACTGGTAAGTTGTAAAGAAATGCATAAATCATTAAAAAAAGAGTTTACGACAAAAATGATTGTAAATTTACATTTAAGAGAGAGTAAAAATAGAATCTAAAAAAAATATCTTTCAACAGCGAGAAGAATAAAAATTTTAATTAGTGGAAAAGGAACGGCCAATTAAAGCCTGGACACGGTACTTAAAGCATAATAATTGTATGCTGTTTTAATAAACGATGTTAATGCACAAATATTGTAAAATTATGAATCAAACGTTTGGGCCCACTTCGGGTCCTTATCAATGAATGCATGGAATAAAAATTCATTGATAAAGACCCGAAATGGGCCAAAACTTTGATTCATAATTTTATAATATATATGTATTAACATCGTTTATTAAAACAGTATACAATTGTTACGCTCTAAGTAACGCGTCCAGGTTCCAATTGGCCTTTCCTTTTCTATTAATTAATATTTATCATTTAAATCTTGTATAATTTTTAATTTTATTGTTGTATTGTAATATAAATTTCATTTTGCCGCAAAAAGAGAAAGAAAAATCTACATATTGTATGTAAAATTAATCCAGATTTAATATAAAGCATTCAATTATATTATTTAATTATGCTATTATTTAGTTTATTTTTTTTAAACAGTTGCAAATATTTTACTTCTGATTTCTTAATCAATAAAATATTTCCGAAAAACGCTTAATGCTTTATTGTTTGATTTTATTATGGATTAACAATTACTTCTTTAAGTCTTAAAACATTTAAACTTTTTTATAATATTTTATTATTTCCAAAGTCAACACTTGCTGTGCTAATTTCCGTATATAATTTATCTCTATTTTTCCTTGTTTTTATTTTTATTTTAAATTTTTTTTCTGGATTAC